AAAATCCTGGAGGTGAGAGTTTCTCTTACTTACCTTTAGCCAAATAGGAGGGGACATTTTTGTTAATGTTTATTCAAAGCAAACTATTAACTGGATCTAAAATCACAAAAAAGGAAAAATGTGGGGAGTCCTTTCTCTTTTATCTTTTCACGATACAGGCAGCATATACCCGGCCCCTCCAGACTTCAAGGCGAGAACTGAGTAAATTTCGCCATGAAAGGTTGTATCCTAGCTTTGGGCTTCGTTTGCATTGAAGGCTTAAGGGCTGGCCCAATTTCCTCTTAAAACTAGACAGGGAGTTTCCATACTCCAAAGTTAGTTAGAATGTCAAGCCCAAGAACGTCATCTCTGATAAGTCAGTAAGCATTTACTGAGTAAATGAAATCAGAATTCTTGAAAATCTAAAGCAGCTGGAGGAAGTCAAAGCCTGCATTTCTGGGAAGCTATGCCCTCTGAACTGCTGAAGGGGAAAGGGAGAGCAAGATAAAGTGATCTTCTGAAGGACCAAGGAGGTTAACTAACCGTACTGGTTTCCTAGGATTGCTCTGGTTTTAAGCTCAGAATGTCTCTTATCCTGGGAAACCCCTCAGTCTGTGCACACTGAACATTTGGTCACCCTAAAATAAAAACTTGATTACATTGCGGTTGATAAAATTAAAATTCAGTGGAAAAGGGTACTAACACGATTTTCCAAATCAACCATCTTTAACATAAATAGAATAAGTCGAAAAAGCATAATGACTAACTACTCTCATAAAAGGATCCATAACTAGGCAATTCCTGGCCAGTTTGTCTATGTAGTTATAGCGATTCATTTCATAGCATTTATTCTAATTGCAAACTTGATTCCTACAAGGAACTAATTAGCCTTCATAGGGCTCTTTTTGAAAAACCGGACCTTAACATGACACCAAATATTCTATGGGCCAAGAAAGTAGAAAGTTTCCAAAGGAAGTTGCTTAACATTTTCAGCGATGGGAAGGAGGTCAAGGAAGGAGAAAGGGTGAGTGAATCTTTTAGAGAGCAACCTTGTGGGTGGGTGGGGATAGAAGCCAGATTACTGGGCCCAAGGAGGGAACCAGTGAAGAGGAATCAGACCAGCCCCAGACCACTTATGCAACATATCTGACAGGGAAAGAATCAAGCAACGAAGCAGTAGCAAGGTCAAGAGAAAAATCTGCCGGGATAGAGGAAAGTTGAGCATGTTGAAGACAGAACAAAAGAAACCAGGGATGAAAGCTTACACGGAGCTTATTGCTAGTCTCAGAAGGCTGGGAGTGAAGGACCCCTGCTGCTGGGCCACTCAGACTGCGACACTGACAGGTCATGGAATGGAAGACTCTGGCCCAAGTGCCCGGGGATCCTCCCCTCTGGCTAGCCACATCTTGGCCTTGCTCAAGACCTAGCTTTCATTGCCCTAAATGAATCATGCCTTCGCAGAGGGTCTGGATTCTGGGAGAAAGCCAATTGCAATTATATGGCAGCAGCCAAAATGAAAACAGTCTCAGAGTAAGAAAAACAGGATAAATGGAAAAGTTTAGAAAGTGTATAGATTAGGTCCATGATGTCGGATAAACATCCAGGGCAAGAGAACCTCCAATAATCAGAGTCCCTATTTTCCAAACTGAAATGATTGGGTTTTGCTTTTAGGAAAACCCCAACATGTGCAAGGCCACCTCTAACATGTGCAGGGCCAGGAGCAAGAGCACAAGTGGAGGCCCATATACTCTATGCTTAAATATTGAAATGTGCTACATTGGGCTAACAAATGTGGCAATACCCATGCTCCCTCTCATCCTAACCTGGGCTCCATCCAGCACAGTGAGGAGCCTGTGGGCACATCAAGCTCCACCCACGCCCAGAGGTCTGGAATGTTCCCATCAGCAACCCCTGAATGACTCTGAAAGACTGCCCCACCTTCCCAAGCAGGCTTGAGGCTGTTTGTACCAGAATTCAGGGACTCACACCAAGCGTGCCCTAGAAGGTCCAGGGGGCTCGTCCCTCATACCCCTTGGCCCATCAGAAACTTTACCATAAGGGGTGGGGTGTGGCAAGAGGAGTGCCAGGTTGGGTGCCCAGGTTGGGATCCTTCTTTCTGAGTTGAAGAGCCATGCTGGACACAATTTCTTTTCCTGGTGTTATATTTTATCCTGGCATTCTCCTGATCTGACTTCCAAAGAACGCTTGGATAAGGCTTTTTACTACAAGGCTTCCCACGATATTGACTGCAACAGTCCACAGCAAGCTGAAGGGCTCAAAAAGAACGTTCCTGCCGAGCAAACTCATTTACACCAGGCTTTCGTGCTCCAGGGAGCAGCAAGACGCCCCAGACAGGGTGTTCTCTGATCCTACCCAGCAATCTTTATCAGACGAAGCAAATTACAGACTATCTCCTGACGAAGGAAGAGCAGAGTTTTCAAAGATCTTAAAGCTGGAAGTATAATTTTCTGATGGAAACTGTTTAGTTTTTAGTTCTGAAGAACTGTTTAGCATAGGTTATTTAGATCCAATACAAACCACTTTAAGACTTCAGTTTAAGCACTCAAAGTGGGGTACGGAGGGGGTCAGCCAGGTGGCCGAGTGGTGAAGTTCACGCGTTCTGCTTCGGTGGGCCAGGGTTTCTCCCGTTTGGATCCTGGGCGTGGACATGGTACTGCTCACCAAGCCATGCTGAGGCAGCATCCCACATGGCACAACCAGAAAGACTACAACTAGAATATACAACTATGTCCTGGGGGGCTTTGGGGAGAAGAAGAAAAAAAAAAGATTGGCAACAGATGTTAGCTCAGGTGCCAATCTTTAAAAATAAATAAATAAATACAGTAGGTTAGGGAGCTGAGGCCTTTTTTGTCTTCTTCCCCAGGCTGAGGTTCAAGTTTGGTGGGAAGGAGCTAAAGAGTGGAGGATTTGGGGTCTGACTCAAGAATCCCATGAAGGGATGTGCTCAGCAGATTACCCCCACAAGGGGAATTAGCACACCTGGCTCTACCCTTTACCTGGCTGGCTGACTGGGAAGTTACTTATCTTGGGCCTGTTTCCTCCTCTGCAAAACAAAGGGTCGGCCTAGATGATTTAGAATTTTTCTTGGGGTAGGGGGCCAGGGGAACCCTTGGGCAATTAGGTCTCCCAAGAAGTCCTTTAGGGTGAACACAGCTTGCCCTGTTTAATGTACTCACATTTCACCCATGGTGTCCCAGCCCGTGGAACCCACCTGGACCCTGGGAGCATCGTCCAGTTGCAGGATGTACGACCCAGGCTTGATAACCATCACTGGGGCAGCTTTCCAGCCTGGGACGTTCAGGCGCTGTCTTTGAAGAGACAAACTATTACAACTCAAATACTTGCACCGAATTTGGGTCCCCCAGTGATAGCAACGGCATGTGTGGGAGAGAGCCACAACGTGTAAAGCGGTGCATTTAACCAATTACATTCGATTTTGTGTCTCTGAAAACTCTTTGCTTCATTAGCAGCCAATCTGGAGGCAGTGATGGAGGTGGCATCTGGAGAGTTGATAGGTTTCAAGGTTTTGGTAAATTCTGAAGAAGTTATTAGTGTAGATATGATCTCAAAGAAACTTCCTCACACACACAAAATAAACTTCCGAGTTGAGCAGCGGGCTGTGAATTTTGCTTGAAACAGCTCTTTTTATTTTTGAGGAAGATTAGCCCTGAGCTAACATCTGCTGCCAATCCTCCTCTTTTTGCTGAGGAAGACGGGCCCTGAGCTAACATCCGTGCCCATCTTCCTCTACTTTATACGTGGGACACCTGCCACAGCATGGCTTGTCAAGCGGTGCCCTGTCCGACCCAGAATGCCAACCGGCCAACCCGGGCCACCGAAGCTGAACGTGCGCACTTAACCGCTGCACCACTGGGCAGGCCCCCGCTGTCATTTTCTTGAACCTACAGCATTACAAGTACTGTACAGTTGGGGATAAGGTGTTTGTTGCACGGGGCGAGGATGAATGGGATACCCCAGATAAAACACGGTGCGTACCCCCGTCCCCCGCCCCCCATTAGGCCGGCGAGGAGCCTGCTCAGAGCCTTTCCCCGGGGAGTGAGAACGTCTGTTTCAGTTGGTCGAGCACAAAATAGGGCCTCAATAAATATTTACCAAATGAATGACTGGTTGCCTGCTTTTCTCTCTTTTGTTTAGTCGCACTCTGGTTCTAAGCTCCTACAAGGAAACCAGGCCTCTGAGTTCTGCCAGTTCCATTACAGTGTGGATGTAGAGTGAGTGGAAGGGGAAGGGGGTAAAGAACGAGCAGGGGAAGCCAGCGGATCCGACACGTGAGGGAAGAAAAAAGAAATCCTTAGGGGCTCAGGGCCGACAAAGAGCCAGACGCCGGCGACCGCAGGCAGGAGAGCCCGGGCGCCCCGGAGCCGCAGCCAGGACGGGCTCCCCGCGCGCCTCCCGCCGAGCGCGGTCCGCATCGCGGGACCGCACCGGGCCAGCGCCCCAGCCCCGCAGCCGGCGCTCCTCCGCGGCTCCCGCCCCCGGGGCGGTGCCGGGAACACGCGGCGCCTCCGCCGGTCACGTGGGGGCCACTCCGCCGGGCGGCGCTGCCGCTTCCCGATCGCGCCCTCGCAGCACCGGGGACGCGGCGCTCGCGCTCCCGCCCGGGCCCGGGGAAGCGGAGACAAGGAGGCGCCCCGGCCCTGCGCCCGCACCATGCCCGCCGCCGAGCCGAGCGCCGCCCTCCTGCAGCCGCTCGCGGAGGCCACGACGCTGCGGGCCGCGGGGCCGCGGCTGCGAGGGTAGCGGGACCGGATCGGCACCGAGGCGGCGCGAGGCGGGCGGAGCGGGAGGAGGAGCAGCAGGCATCCTCCGCGGCGCGGCGGGCGGGCGGCGGCCCTGCCGGCCCGGCGCGCCCATGGCCCGGGAGGAAGGAGAATGCGCGCGGCGCTCCCCGCCGGCCGCCGCCGCCTGCCCCCGAGCCGCGTGCTCGGCGCCCCCCGGAGCTGCTCGCGTCGCCGCCGCGCCCCAGCTGCGGGCGCCCAGCCGCTGGCTGCGCTAGGACCCCCAGCCGCCGGTCGCCGAGGGGCGGTGGGAAGGGGGGAGCGGGATCGACAGCGCCCCGGAGAGTGGCGCCCGCCCGGGCGCAGCGCGGCATGTAGCTGCGGGCTCCCGCGCCCGCGTGAGGGTGTCGGCCTGGGGCCCCGCCATGGCTGGAAAGGACAGTGGGAACCTGAAGACGGTGAGGCTGTGGCGGGACGCCGCCCTGCGCGCCAGGAAGCTGCGGAGCAACCTGCGCCAGCTCACGCTCAGCGCGGCCGGGGCCGACCCCATCGACTCCCCCGACGCGCCCCAGCTCGTGCTGCCGGCCAACATCGGTGACATTGAGGTGCTGAACCTGGGCAACAACGGCCTGGAGGAGGTGCCCGACGGGCTGGGCTCGGCGCTGGGCAGCCTGCGTGTCCTGGTCCTGCGCAGGAACCGCTTCGCCCGGCTGCCCCCGGCGGTGGCCGAGTTGGGCCACCACCTCACTGAGCTGGACGTGAGCCACAACCGGCTGACCGCCCTGGGCGCAGAGGTGGTGAGTGCCCTGCGGGAGCTGCGCAAGCTCAACCTCAGCCACAACCAGCTGCCCGCCCTGCCCGCCCAGCTGGGCGCCCTTGCCCACCTGGAGGAGCTGGATGTCAGCTTTAACCGGCTGGCGCACCTGCCCGACTCCCTCTCCTGCCTCTACCGCCTGCGCACCCTCGACGTGGACCACAACCAGCTCACTGCTTTTCCCCGGCAGCTGCTGCAGCTGGCGGCCCTGGAGGAGCTGGACGTGTCCAGCAACCGGCTGCGGGGCCTACCTGAGGATATCAGTGCCCTGCGTGCCCTCAAGATCCTCTGGCTCAGTGGGGCTGAGCTTGGCACCCTGCCCAGCGGCTTCTGTGAGCTGGCCAGCCTGGAGAGCCTCATGCTAGACAACAACGGGCTGCAGGCTCTGCCCGCCCAGTTCAGCCGTCTGCAGCGGCTCAAAATGCTCAACCTCTCCTCCAACCTTTTTGAGGAGTTCCCTGCCGCGCTGCTGCCCCTGGCTGGTCTGGAGGAGCTCTACCTTAGCCGCAACCAGCTCACCTCAGTGCCATCCCTCATCTCGGGCCTCAGTCGTCTTCTCACCCTGTGGCTGGATAATAACCGGATCCGCTACCTGCCGGACTCCATCGTGGAACTGACCGGCCTGGAGGAGCTGGTGCTGCAGGGGAACCAGATCGCCGTGCTGCCGGACAACTTTGGCCAGCTCTCCCGGGTGGGCCTGTGGAAGATCAAGGACAACCCACTGATCCAGCCCCCCTACGAGGTCTGTATGAAGGGGATCCCCTACATCGCAGCCTACCAGAAGGAGCTGGCTCATTCCCAGCCGGCGGTGCAGCCGCGCCTCAAGCTGCTTCTGATGGGCCATAAGGCTGCAGGAAAGACCTTACTCCGCCACTGCCTCACCGAGGAGAGAGTGGAGGGAAACCAAGGAGGAGGGGACAAGGAGAAGAGCTACCCACCTTCACCTCCTCCCGTGAGTAAGGGCATTGAGGTGACCAGCTGGACGGCCGATGCTTCCCGGGGCCTGCGGTTCATCGTGTATGACTTAGCTGGCGATGAAAGTTACGAGGTGATCCAGCCCTTCTTCCTCTCCCCAGGAGCCCTTTATGTGCTGGTGGTGAACTTGGCCACCTATGAGCCACCCGGCTTCCCCACCACCGTGGGCTCCTTCTTGCATCGGGTAGGGGCCCGGGTGCCTCACGCCGTGGTGTGCATCGTGGGCACGCACGCAGACCTGTGTGGGGAGCGGGAGCTAGAGGAGAAGTGTCTGGACATCCACCGCCAGATCGCCCTGCAGGAGAAGCACGACGCGGAGGGGCTGAGCCGTCTGGCGCAGGTGGTGGACGAGGCCCTGGCCCGGGACTTCGAGCTGCGTTCCGCCAGCCCCCACGCAGCCTACTATGGGGTTTCGGACAAGAACCTTCGGCGGCGCAAGGCCCATTTTCAGTACCTGCTCAACCACCGGCTGCAGATCCTCTCCCCGGTGTTGCCTGTTAGCTGCAGGGACCCCCGCCAATTACAGCGCCTTCGGGACAAACTGCTCTCGGTGGCCGAGCACCGGGAAATCTTCCCCAACTTACACAGAGTGCTGCCTCGATCCTGGCAGGTGCTGGAGGAGCTGCATTTCCAGCCCCCTCAGGCGCAGCGCCTTTGGCTAAGCTGGTGGGACTCGGCGCGCCTGGGCTTGCAGGCGGGTCTGACCGAGGACCGGCTGCAGAGTGCTCTCTCCTACCTGCACGAGAGCGGCAAGCTGCTCTACTTTGAGGACAGCCCGGCGCTCAAGGAGCACGTCTTCCACAACCTCACCCGCCTCATCGACATTCTCAATGTCTTTTTCCAGAGGGATCCTTCCTTGCTGCTGCATAAGCTGCTCCTAGGGACCAGCGGAGAGGGCGAAGGCGAGGGGGAAAGCTCCCCCGTGGTGGCGCTGCCCAACCCGAGCCAGGACGTGCTGCGGGCCACCCAGCTCCATCATTATGTAGAGGGCTTTCTGCTTCATGGGCTCTTGCCAGCCCATGTCATTCGGTTGCTGCTTAAGCCTCATGTCCAGGCCCAGCAGGACTTGCAGCTGCTGCTGGAGCTGCTGGAGAAGATGGGACTCTGTTACTGCCTCAATAAACCCAAGGGCAAGCCTTTGAATGGGTCCACGGCCTGGTACAAGTTCCCATGCTATGTGCAGAACGAAGTGCCCCACGCGGAGGCCTGGATTAACGGGACCAACCTGGCGGGGCAGTCTTTCGTGGCTGAGCAACTGCAGATTGAATATAGTTTTCCCTTTACCTTCCCACCTGGGTTGTTTGCACGCTACAGCGTCCAAATCAACAGCCATGTGGTGCACAGGTCCGATGGGAAACTTCAGATCTTTGCCTATCGGGGGAAAGTTCCAGTGGTGGTGAGTTACAGACCTGCCAAGGGGGTCCTGCACCCAGACACTCTGTCCATTGCCAGCCATGCATCATTACCAAATATATGGACGGCATGGCAAGCCATAACCCCTTTGGTAGAGGAACTGAATGTCCTACTTCAGGAGTGGCCTGGACTGCACTACACCGTGCACATTCTCTGTTCTAAGTGCCTTAAGAGAGGGTCGCCCAATCCACACGCTTTCCCAGGTAAGTGGAGAGAGGGCCGTGGCTCTTCTGTGGTATGTTTTAAGATGTGTTTTGTGAAGGTATTTGTTTCCCGTGTGGCAGATTATTTGCTTAACCTCACAGGCTCCCCAGGAAGGCTTTTCAAGGTAAATACAGGGGGCTTTGGGGACAAATCAAAGGCAGAAGTACGTAAGCAATATGAGATGCAGTCTCAAGGGTCAGACTTTCAAAGCGGGTTCCAGACAGAACATTTTCGACCTCGCTTCCCTCTTCCCAGTTTAGCCCACCATTCATGGAAGGAAACGTCAAGTGGTTGGACAGAAGATGGAGCGTGTCTGACACTGGCCTCTTGCTCAGTCTGGGTTATAATGCGTGTTAGACACATCTGGAATGAGTGCTCTGAGTTTGAGATGTCTGTTGTCATATTCTTTGTTTAAATTCAGAGTGTGAACAGAAAGTAAAAATTATTGCTCCTTTTTCTTAAGAAATTCCATAGAAGAATGTTTCGTAATCAGGGTGAATCATGTGCTGGTTAAGATAAAAACTTTAGTCTGTAACACGGCTGGATCCTGGGGTGGCTGTCTCACCCGGCACGCTCCAGGGCATGAGAGAGGTTACTGAAGTCTCTGAGGGGAGTTTCCTCGGGTATTTCCTGGCGGTTTTGTGTTTTACAGACATCTCAAGGTTTGGTTTTTGGTAAGTGTTAGGGAGTGGAGCTTTTTGGAAGTACTCTGTAAGAGATGAAAGGAACAAAAAGCGACGAGAGTTTTTTTCTTTTTTGGGGAATGTTTTCCAGCACACTTCCCCACCCCTGCGCATTTTTGAACCATTATAGATGAGAGAGAGAATTCCAAGATTAGTGGGATTTTTGGATCCTGGTTATTTGGTATCCTGAGTCTTTAGTTGGGATTGTGTTCATTTCTTCACTCTGGAGCAAGTCTCTAAACAGTGCTGATTTTTGTTAACAACATTCTAAGTGTCCTAAGGACAAACCCAGTGATAGCATCATTGCCAGTTTGTCCCCTCGGTCCCCCACCCCCAGGGTACATTGAGCAGTGATGAAATGGAAGCCTACATGCCACTCCGATCTTTGTCCTGGTCTGAATGGAGCTCATAATGGTATCAGGAAGGAATTGGACACCAGTATTTCCAAAGGTAACATCTTTCCGTTGCCGTGGATCTAGGCCAAGTTTAATTCTTCAGTTTGAAAGAAGCTCCCTTATTCAGTTACCAGTCCCCTGAGCCATCCGTTCTGTGTGATTGTGTGGTGTCTTGTCACAGTCGGTGACTTGATAGACTCTTCAGTTTGTTATATATTTGCCATTGTATTTTATTCATGAAAGCAGATACTTCTTTATTGTGTTGCTCAATTGAATAAAGTGGTTGAGAGTTACATATTCACCGAGTAGCTTATTGAAGGGGCTGCCTAAAGCCAATTCTTAATCCAAAGATGGAGCGTCAGTAAAACTGATGTTACTAACAACACAGGGAAGGACATAGGTTATTGAACAGGTAAAGATCTGTGCAGAGGAGTTCCAAGAACTTTGAAGAGCAAACAGTGAGGTTGGAATTTTTTTCCTAATGTCTTTATTTTTTTTTTTGACAGTCATAAATTCCACAAACAAGCTTGTCCCCAGATGCAGAAATGAGCCTGTTCTCTTGCTATTGTTTTGTGTTTGTCTTTCAAAGGAGGCACACCTGGTGTGCAGTCCAGACTCTGAGGAAGAGATGATGCTTTTCAACATAAAAAACAAATAAATGGTTGAAAATGGTCAAATTATCTTATATCTTGAGTAGGAATAAATCATCAGTTGTTTTTATAATATAGTCTCTACATTTCTGTCTTAGTTATGGTCAAAGAAATGTTACCTTTTTTTCATTGGTTTAGGATTGTATTTCTTCCAAAAGTAGCAAAGGGCACAAAGTAGGGGGAAAAGATGATAATAGCACATTTGTTACATTAAGACGACAAGGAAGTAACTATGTTTGGTGATGGATGTTAACTAGACTTATGGTGGTGATCATTTCACAATATTCACAAATATCGAATCATTATGTTGCACACCTGAAACTAATATAATGTTACATATCTCAATAAAACAATTTAAAAATAAAGAAAGAAGTCAGGGGAAAAGAACACATATTCCTCTTTCATATTTTTCTGATAGCTGTCATTTGTTAATAATTGTCGCAATGCTGGAAGATTTGGGAAGAGCTAAAATAATAAAAAGATGGAAAGTGATGTAAGAACAGAATTTTAATGTTGGGTGTTCAATTAGGGCATCCATTTAAAAGTACATTCATCGAGTCTCTAGATTATTAAAATATATTTTAATTCAGCATAAACCTTTGAATCTATTGGTAGCCTTTGTCTTTTTTAAGAAGTCATTTTGTTCTTTAGAGACATTAGAAAAGTTGGTTACTTAGTTTTACATGTTATTAAAGTGTCAAGTTCTCCTGTAAACTGATAATTTTATATACAGTAATAAACTCCTGGATTTCTAATTGTTTCAACTTTGGGACATTAACATTAAATAGAAAATTAGTGTCTCCTTTGCTCTTATACAAAGAAACATAGACTTGCATTAATACCTGTTAAAATGTTTTTTTGCGAAAAGCCTTTTTTGGCCTTGTCTCTGTCAATAGGACATTGAATTTTCTGGCCTGAGCTGTGCCCAGGTAGTTGGCCTAGGCTGTGTAATCCTAGATTTCTCTTTTCTGATTTTGGTGTACAAAAGAAATGCAGTGTTTTAGAAAACTCTCAGCCAACAACCTCTTGATTTGAAAAGTTCTTGTAAAAACAGATGTACTCACGTTGTCAGAGAGATTACCTGTTTATCATATTTAAGGTGAATGGGTGAGTGACAGGCGATGCTTCTGGAAACTCTAAGGAGGCCTGTGAGGGAGCCTAAATGTCAGGTGTGTGAGTTGGCCTGCTTTCTGCAGGACTGACCACACTGCCAGCATCCGCCAGCCAGCCTCTCTCCTCATCGCTTGATCAGATAGTCTCATCCTAGAGTAAGTTTCTTCTTGTGGGATATTTTATTTATGCTTTTGTTCTTTTCTACCAATATGACCTCTAGACCAGAAAAGCTGAATACTCCTGAGGATGATGAGTGGTGTATTGAGTACGACGTGGAGGCTGGGACACAGGTCTGCTGCAAGATTCTAGTGCTCTGATGCTCTATTTAAGTGGTCGAGCGAATGCTGTGTGTTTTCAAATTGGAAGATTGTGCCTTAGTGAGTTGAACTTGGGTTGAGTGTGATTTTTCACTAAATATCCTACTCTCCAAATTGTTAAAGATCGTTTTAAAGAATAATTAGGAAGCACCACAAAGCAGTGGACAGGGAATTCATATGTGGTCTTCTTTGTTTTCGATCTCTTTCATTCCCTCAGTTGCTGGATGCCTTTCCACGTGTTCCAAGGCCACTGCCTTCTGCCCTTGTTCAGTGCATGCACACTGCGTGTGTTTCTGAGGCGCTCAGTGTATTTTGCCTTGTTCTGTTGGTGTTCGTGTCTGTCATCATATCTCTTTGATGACCTTCCCCGCTTGCTTCCCCTGGGCAGGAGACACGCCCCAAGCTTTGTAGCTTCTCTGAGTCTCTCAGATGTTTGCTGACTGATTGTTTGTTTTTTTGTGAGAAACATCTTTTTTTCTTTGTTACGTATTCTGTCAAATTCCCAGGTGGTACCGTAGTGATCATCTTGCTTTGTCCTGTGTCCGAACTTCCCTCCCTCGCCCCCCGAATGTCCCTCTGGTGTCCCCATTGTGACCGGATTACTGGTCTTTCCCTTGAATGGGCCCTTCATTTTGACCACTGAAGCAAGGCAGAATTCTTGCCTTGTTATGTCTCAGTTTGAGAGTTCTGCAGTTTTAGCGTGACCTAGTTGTTTGGATTGAATTAGTCATTGTTTTTAATTTCACAAAGCTTATTAAATATCTTTTTAGTTTAACTTTATTAATATTGATGCCTCTGGGCTTTTATTTTTGTGAACAGTCCTCTTTGAACTCTCTTGGGCTTCGTTTCATATAAAAATCAAACCCTTAATCACGCAGTGGGAGAAAGAAATACCGTGCATGATAGAATTCAAAGACTTGAAAGGCCTTTGGAGTGTTCAAATTATTCTAAGTGTTAGGTGTCTCTTCTTTAAACTCTAGAAAAGAATCTCAAGTCCATCTCTGCACAAGTAGTTTAGAGTTCCCTAGAGAAAGTATTTTTTATTTGTTAACAAATGTTATATGTCATGCTCTGCCGCCTGCTCATCTTAGTCCCCAGGAAACCTTACCTGATTATTTTAGTTTAGGCATTTGCTTCATCTTAACACCTGAAACATTTATAGGGCATGCTTCACAGAGTTGTTTTGGGAATTAGGTGAGAGGATGTGTTGAGGAAAACGATGATTCCTCCTGTCTCTGTAAAGAAGTCGGGGGCTTCTGCTCCATTGTACAGAATGGGCGTGGGGGCTGTTATTGGAGTGAACGTTTCTGGCTACTTTCTCCGTGCACCCACTAACTTGCTTCTCTCCATGGGAGCCTGTTTTCTTTATGGACCTGGCCATCCATCTTTTAGGATGCTCTTTTTTTAAACCATGGGGCAGGCGCTGGCGTCATCTCCTGCCCTCTCTTGTCTCCTGCAGCCTTGGCACTCCTGTGCCCAGGGGTGGAGAGGAGAGTTGCTTTGTGTTTTCATGCTCTATGGAAAGTGTTCCAGGTAGGGTCTGCTTGGGGCAGGCCCAGCCAGCTCTCTGTTCTTTCTGGTTCAGCAGCTCTGATTGCAAAACCAGTTGCTGGATGCTTGTCAGGTTTACCCTCTCCGGGGGCTGGCCACCTTCACTTTGGCAGGGAGGGAGGAGGAGGCCCCAGGTTGGCCTGCATTCCCCAGTCCTGCTCTAGCCTTAGTGCAGCTGACGCTCTGATCCCCATTTGGCTCCTCCTGTCTGCACAGCCTGTGGAACCCAGAGTGATTGACAGGCGTCTCAGACAACCATAGAATACGTAGGATGCTGTGTCTTTGTTGAA